CCTCCAGAAGTTGTAAATGCTCCAACACTGGAAGTTTTTAAGATGTTGGACAACCATTTGTCTGAAACGTTATATAGGGGTTTCCTGCCTGAGCAGGGGGTTGGACTAGAAGACCTCCAAGGTCCCTTCCAACTCTGTTATTCTGTTACAGTTTTTTTTTTTAATTTGATTTATATGCCACCCTTCTCCGGAGACTCAGGGCGGCTTACAGTGCGTTAAGCAATAGCCTTCATCCTTTTGTATATTTATACAAAGTCAGCTTATTGCCCCCACAAACTGGGTCCTCATTTCACCTACCTTAGAAAGGATGGAAGGCTGAGTCAACCTTGAGCCTGGTGAGATTCGAACTTACAGTAATTGCAGACAGCTGGTGTTAATCACAATGCTATCGGTCTGCTGAGCCACCGGGCCCTTTAATGAACAGTGTTAAATGACTTGCTCCCAAAACAAAGCCATCTTCACTTCAATGACTGGGTGCTGTTGCTCAAAGGGGATTCTGAGGCCCGTGGAAAGTCTGCTGAAGACACTGCAGAAACTCACCGATTTAAGCCAGCGATCTTTAAAATGTACGACGTTTTCCTCAACTTACAATCATCCCATTTAGCAACTATTCAAAGTTACAACAGCACTGAAAAAAGTGACTTAGATTGGTCCTGACACTTACAACCAATGCAGGATCCCCATCGTCATGTGATCAAAATTCAGGTTTTTGGCAACCAGCACGTACTGACCCGAGGGTCACGTGATTGCCATTTGCAACCTTTTGACAAGCAAAGTCAATGGGGTAAGCTGGATTTGCTTAATGACGGTATGACTCACTTAATAGCGGCGATAATTAGCTTAACAACGGTGGCAAGAAAAGGTTGTAAAATCAGGCACGACTCACATAAGAACTACCGTATCTTGCTTAGCAATGGAAATTTTGGTCCCAATTGTAATCGTAAGCAATTTCTTAGAACTTTTCCCCAAAGGTGCTTTTTCTAAAGGACATTTTTCCCCCCTTCTCATCCAAGAAGCTTCTTCGGTTCCAAAGCAGCAGAGAACTGAAGAAGCTTTTTGGATGAGAAGCGAAACATTTTCAAGAGGGAAAAAGAAAAACAACCCCAAGAAAGTTCAGTTGCCTTTAGAAAAGAACCTTTACGGCAATCACGAAGTGGATCATTGGGAATCTCCATAGACATTCTCACAACTTACTACGTTAGCAGTACATACGCGTGAGGTTCAAACAAACATTTTCCTCTCTGAAGAAAGCAATCAGCTCAAGGGTTTCCCTTAAAATATACAATCACAACAGAGAGTAGGATACGTCTACCTCGGTCAGTGATGGCTAACCTTTTTGCCATAGCGGGCCAGGAGGGGGTGGGGTCGCTTGTGTGTGTGCCCACACCCATAATTCTATGTGCCCACGCATGACCCCCACCCCCCGCGGTCCCCGCTCCTGGCACACAATGGCACGGTAGGCCCATTTTTTGCTCTCACGAGCCTCCCGAGCCTTTCTAGGAGTCTGGGGAGGGCAAAAACAGCCTTCCCCACCATCCCCGAGGCCCTCTGGAGGCCAAAAACAGCCGGAAGTTGGTAAACCGGCTGTTTTCCGCCTCCAGAGGGCCTCCGGGCGGGTGGAGAAGGCCGTTTTCACCCTCCCCAGACTCCTAGAAAGGCTCTGGAGGATGGGGAGAGAGAAAAATGGGCCTTCCCCACCATCCCCCAAGGCCCTCTGGAGGCAGGAAACAGCTTCCCTACTTCTGGTGGGCCGAGAAGGCCCAAAAATCAGCTGGCCAGCGCGCACATGTGTGCCAGAGTTGAGCTCGCTTGCCCACCGATATGGCTACGATATGTGCCACCTGTGCCATAGGTTCGCCATCATGGACCTAGGTCAACTCTCCATCTAATCTACTCTGTGAATGAGAGAAATCCCCACAATTCTTCACAACCGGCAAAGGTTCTCCTAAGGGCAACATTGGCTGGGGAAGGGGGGCCAGAGGGCACAAGAACCCACTTCCTTTACTTGAGTAACCTTTGATAAGGCAAAATATCCTGCTGTTTTCTTTTGTTCCCCTTTAAGAGTTCCTGACTGCTCCCCGTTACTGAAACAGCCAAAGTACTTTAGCGACACCTACTGTTCATTTGCAGAAATGACAGCCGTAGGGGGGAAAAGAATATTTTAAAAAGCGGGAAACTCATGTAGTTAACTCATATGGAGACTGCCTTAAAACACAGGTAGTCCTCGAGTCACGACCACAATTGTGCCCCAAAATTCTTTTAAGTTCTTGTTAACTGAGTGCCCCATTTTACGAACTTCCTTGCCACAGCTGTTAAGCGAATCACTGCAGTTGAAAAGTTAAGTCACACGCTTGTGAAGTGAATCCAGCTTCCCCATTGACTTTTTTTTTTTCTGACTTTGCTGGTCAGAAGGTCGCAAAAGGGAGATCACATGGCCCCCGGACGCTGCGACCGTCGTAAATATGGATCAGTTGCCAAGTGTCTGAAGTTTGATCGTGTGACCACAGGGAGGCTGCAACAGTGGTAAGTGTGAAAAAAGGGTCCTAAGTCGCTTTTTTTCAGTGCCATTGTAACTTAGAACAGTCACTAAATAAACTGTTGTAAGTCGAGGACTACCTGTACGTATCTGTAAACAGATACAGGTAGTCCTCGACTTACAACCATTCACTTAGCAGCCATTTAAATTACAGCAGCACTGGGGAAAAAGTGACTCACAACAGGTCTAACAACAACAGTAACAACCTCACACTGAAAACTGTTGCAGCGTCCCCACAGTCACATGATCAAAATTTGGGTGCTTAGCAACTGGCATGTGTTGATGATGGTGCAGCGTCCTGGAGGTCACGTGATCTGCATTTGCAACCTTTCCAGTTGGCTTCGGAGAAGCAAAGTCAATGGGGAAGGCGCGATTCGTTTAACAACCACGTGATTCACTTAAGAACTACAGTGATTCATTTAACAACCATCAGAAAAAGAGTTGCAAAATCAGGTGTGACTCACCTAGTAATTGCCTTGCTTAGAAACGGGAATATTGGGAAAAATTAAAAAATAATAAAACGAATTGAAATGAAATAAAATAGTGATAAAATAATAAAATAAAATAAAAGTCAATCTAATCCAACTCTTTCTGAATGTCAGGGTCTTGTCCCACACAAAATTGCTTTACACCAGGATAAAAAATTATCAGCATTGTCTGTTACGAGTGTAAGACGAGGTTCTGAATCACTCTTGAACTGGGGAAATCCGAAGTTATGAATCAGACTTGAACTGGGGAAATCCTCCTAAATTCTCAGACTTAAAAATAAGCCAGGAACATTATTTTTACACCAGATCCATTTAGATATCTACCGCATCCTGTATTAATTGGCAATCGTTCTCCAGGATCTCAAAATGGCAACTTGCCCTCTTCCTTTAAATTCTTCTTATAATTCTTTTAATTAAATTCTTTTATGATCCAAGCTGGGTTTTTTTTTTTCACAAAATGTATCCTTTTGCCATTCAGAGGAACAGAAAACATCTCTCTTCTTTCATTCATCGGAAAAGACACAGGAAAAAAAAGTAGCTTTATAACCTTCACATCAGGGGACAGAGTTTATACTCCCTCACTGAACCAAAGGTGCTTTTTCAAGAGGCAACTGGACTTCCTTTGTTTTTCCTTGAAAACATTTCGCTTCTCATCCAAGAAGCTTCCTCAGTTCTGGCTGAATGATGGAGGATTCCTTTCTAGGATTTATATTCCATCTGGTCGTTAGCACTCTCTCTGAGAGTCAATGTGGTCAGAGCTGAAGAAACTTCTTGGATGAGAAGCGAAACGTCTTCAAGGAAAAACGAAGTCCAGTTGCCTTTTGAAAAAGCACCTTTTGGGACAGCCATCACCTGGATGACTGAGAGTCTGCATAGACATCTCCCTCACTCCAGCGGTTGCTAGAATGGGGTACATTTAGTTTAATGAAAAGAAGGACTAGGGGAGACATGATCGCAGAGTTCCAATATCTCAGGGGTGGCCACAAAGAAGAGGGAGTGAAGCTATTCTCCAAAGCACCTGAAGGCAGGACAAGAAGCAATGGGTGGAAACTAACTAAGGAGAGATGCAACCTAGGACTAAGGAAAAAATTCCAGACAGTGAGAACAATTAATCAGTGGAACGACTTGCCTCCAGAAGATGTGGATGCTCCATCACTGGAACAGATTGGACAACCATTTGTCTGAGATGATATAGGGCAGTGATGGCTAACTTTTTGCCATCGCGTGCCAGGGGGCGGGGGAGGGTTGCGCACGCACGTGCCCACGCACATGCGTGCACAACCCCCTTCAACCCCTGCTCCTGGCACATGATGACATTTTTTGCTGTCCCCAAGCCTCCAGAACCTCTCTAGGAGCCTCTCTAGGAGTCTCTAGGAGCCTCTCTAGGAATCTCTGGAGGCTGGGGACAGGAAAAAATGTCACTTCCTGTCCCACCGGGAGCCGGGAAATGGGCCCTTTCAGCCTCCATAGGGCCTCCAAGGGAGTGGGAAAGGCTGTTTTCACCCTTCCCAGATACACAGAGAGGATCTGAAGCCAGGTAAGAAAGAAAAACGGGCCTTCCCCACCCCGCCCCCAGGCCCTCCAGAGGCAGGAAACAGCCTGTTTCCCTACTTCTGGTGGGCCCAGAAGGCCCGAAAATCAGCTGGCCGGCGCACGCATGCGCCCCAGAGCTGAGCTGGCGTGCTCACTAATATGGCTCCGCGTGCCACCTGTGGCACGCGTGCCATAGATTCGCCATCACGGGTATAGGGTCTCCTGCCTGAGCACAGGGTTGGACTAGGTGACCTCCAAGGTCCCTTCCAGCTATGCTATGCTATGCTATGCTATGCTATGCTATGCTATGCTATGCTATGCTATGCTATGCTATGCTATGCTATGCTATGCTATGCTATGCTATGCTATGCTATGCTATTCTCTGAAATCCTGCTTACTGCCCACTAACCTTTCCCTTTTCTTCTCAGGTACGAGATACTTACAGGTATGCTCCATATCTGTATCCCATCACTGTAGCCAATCATGAGCAGAAGAGGAGGCTCGTTCCCAGTGCTGTGCATTTCATGCAGCTCCACATTCCTTAACGTATCTAAAGAAAAAAAAAAAGAAAATCAGAAAAAGGAATCAAAGCCAGAAGCACCAGACTAGGACAATGCTTCCATGGAGTCCAAAGAGTTGCTTTGGATACCGGTGGCACATAAATAAAACGAAACGAAACGAAATATTCCGTTATCTCTAGAGAAATTAAGTGGGGGGGAAACCGCATGTTATTTCATTAACTTGCCCATGCTTTGGTACCAAAGATACATGCAAACCACAAAACACGTGATCACCAGTTCTAACCTTCCAGCAGGCTTCCAACAAGCAATGTCATTGAGGGAAACCAAATTTGTGCAACAACCACGTAATTCACTTAATTTGATTGATTTGCTTAACAACTGTGGCAAAAAAGGTCGTAAAATGGAGATGTCAGGATTCCAAGTAACCCCCTCAACGAAAGAAGACTCCGAGGTTGAAGTTCCTCAAAGTTCCATTTTATTAGAGATGTCATATTGGCACATCTGGGAAAACCTGAATCTGAAAGCTTCCAGGTTTTCCCCACCCAAAAGAAAATCCAGGTCCCTTCACCCTGCACCCACATGTCCATCACACGGTCCAATTGAAGCACTGTCCCAACTGGAGATGCCTCCCAGTTCCAGCCCTCCAAGTCCAGAGCAAGATGTCCTTGACTCTCTGAGAAAGGAATGTTATTATGACTATATATCACACTTGCTCCGTACAATCCTCTCCCCCAATTTCCCACAGTAGTAAATGTGGCAGGCATGAAGTAGTAAATGTGGCAGGCATGAAGGCCCAATGCAAAAGAGGAGGACAGGAGCACTTTAACAACTATCTCGCTTAGCAAGGGAAATTTTTGGGTTCAATTGTGATCGTACATGGAGGCCTACCCATATAGGCTGTCCAAGCAAGGACGCCTCCCATTTGTTACCATCTGATATGGGAAGAGATAGCTCTTAAAATGCAGACCTCACAAGACCTGAACAGAAAGCGCAAGGCCATGAATTGAAGTGGGAAGCTGGGGGGGGGAGAGAGAGATTTACCATTCAAGTCAGAATTTTCAAATCTGATCCATACAATTTTCTCTTTTTCTTCTGTTGGAGTTGTACTGCTATAAGCCTGTAAGGGGAAAAAAAGATGAGATTCAAAACAAAAACCCTCAGTTGTGCAGTTAACAGCTTACTCTGTGGACATACAGTGCCAATTTGGTGTAGTGGTTAAGGTGCTGGTAGAAAAACCAGGAGACTGAGAGTTCTAGTCCCGCCTTAAGCATGAAAGCCATCTGGGTGACTTTGGGCCAATCACCAGGAGACGGTGACTTCTAGTCCCACCTTAGGCATGAAAGGTGGCTGGGTGACTTTGGGCCAATCACCAGGAGACTGGGAATTCTAGTCCTGCCTTAGCCATGAAAGCCAGCTGGGTGACATTAGATCGGTCCCTCTCCCTCTCAGCTCAACTCACCTCAAAGGTTTGTCATTGTGGGGAAAATAGGAGGAGGAGGAAGGAATATTAGGTTTGTTTGCCGCCTTGACTTGTTTATAAAGTAATGCCGATTTAAACCAATTGCACTTGCCTGTGGTACGACATCTTGCAGAAATGTGACAACACTTTCCATGTAGGACTGCTCCCTGGAACCGAAAGATGAATATCCATAAAAAACAGCAATGATTATTATATACATATATAAATGTCGATGGTGGAATTGCAGGTTAAGCATCATCATGCACATCACAGAATAGGACTAAGAAACAGTAACCCACAGAAATGAAGGGCATTAAGATGAGAAAAAAGATAAGCAACATTGGAAGAAGTTAGGTTTAAAATTGCATTTTTTCTGAACGCTACAGATTTCCCCCCCCCAAAAAAAGTCGATTAAGATACTGTCATTATCAGAATTCACTGGAACATAACATGAACAACTATGAACAATTTTGTAGAAGTAAATGTGTTAGGATATGGTTTGAGCCTAACAAGTTGTCCAGGCAATATATGTGTTCTGTAACTTTAATATGAATATGTATTGTGTGACTTTAAAGTTTTCCTGCTGATTCATTGTAATGCTGAGTCATGCTGTAATTACACCGGTTGAAAACGTATTCAGTTGATGATAAGCTACCATTGTGTGGGGAGTTGCAATCATTGTGCTATCATCGTTGGATAGATCTGCTACCATCGTGGTTTGTGAACCAGAGTGAGTTTGTTATTCTAACCAACTACTGTTTGTGTGGTAAGAAGATTTTGTATCACTGGACTGATTTAACTGGCAAAGATTTGGATTCATTAAAAGACTATGCAATTGTTTTTCACTACAAAGTAAAAGCTTTTGATAAACCAGCTGCACATCTCTTATTCATTGCTCTCAGCAACGTTTCTCTGTGCTCTACACTCTGCTGGTTGGTAACACAACAACAATATCCTTAACAAAATGTACCTACAAATTGCTAGAAGAATAAAAACTGATTTCAAAAGTTAGAGAGGGTTTCTAAGAAAACCCTCTCTAAACCCTAAGAAGATAGCATTTGAAATGCTCATACAGAATTAAGACTTGAGATTAATTATTGACACCTCATAGTTGTTACAGCTGCTACGAACTCTGGGTTGTATCAGACAAAGCAATTCCAAAGTGGGTATCGAAATAACCCACCACCAAAAACTTCATTCCATCACTCATACAGGTAGCATAGCAAAGGTCAGCAGCAGACAAATTTAAGTTTCATCTTCCATTTGGAACTCTAGATGAACTATATGGAATTGTATCTATAAAGCGATGCTGGCACAATGGCTAGAATGCAATATTGCAGGCTGACTCTGCCCACTGACAGGAGTTCGATCCTGACCAGCTCAAGGTTGACTCAGCCTTCCATCCTTCCGAGGTCGGTAAAATGGGGACCCAGATTGTTGGGTTCAATAGGCTGACTCTGTAAACCACTTAGTGAAGACTGTGAAGCGGTATATAAGTCTAAGTGCTATTGCTCTTAAGTACTTACGTAACAGCCTGTGGCCGGACTATCACACCTCCGGTACATCGGCTTGGACGGCGGGGAGATTCAGCAGCCATTACTGTTCTAAATTCCTGGAAGCAAAAAACAAAGTATTTTTGAATTATGTCTCAGACGCTCTTCCTCACTAACTTCTTCAGTGTTCGTCAACAGCACTATTTAAGAAAAAAGCCGATATCACAAGATATGTAAACAGCAAGTCCGCAGGTCAGAAAAGGCAAGTTATGATTGATCAATGACATATTTTACCTCCCACAGCTCAAAACTTTGAATTGGAATCTCTAAAGCCCTGCCTGAAAAAAATGCCCAGATCACCTTCCTATGTAGACAGAAATAATAGAAAAATTAAGTCAGTCCTAATTCAGTGGTTACTTCATCCAATCACATTTAAGCTAAAAATCAAACAAGTGGCAGGAAAGCTCATAAAATATAGTTTGGTGTGATATCCAGAATTATCACTAAAATCAGTGGGGCTTAAGTTAACTACTGCCTAGAGTAGCCGCCCCATGGTGAGATAGGTGCAAATAAATGTAACAAATAATAACAGAATTACAGTTATCCGTTGGAGGCCCTACGGAGGCTGAAAGGGCCCATTTCCAGTTTTAAGCAACCTTGTAGGTTAGGGGTGTCAAACTCGCAGCCTGCAGGCCAGATGCATCACGTGCTGGCCACGCCCATCCCGTTTTAGCGAAGGGGGAGGAAGTCGCGATATATCATGTGATGACAACGTGACGATGTGAGTTTGACACCCCTGTTGTAGGTCATCAAGTCCAACCCCCTGCTCAAGCAGGAGACCATACGCTAGGGGTGTCAAGCTCGCGGCTCACGGGCTGGATACGTCACGTGCTAGCCACGCCCACCCCCATTTTAGTGAAGGGGAAGAAAGTCGCGAGACGTATATCACGTGACCTGACGACACAAGTTTGACACTTCTGCCCTACACATCTCTGACAGATGGCTGTCCTTGAAAGCTTCCAGTGATGAAGCTCCCACAACTTCCGAAGGCAACTTCTGTTCCATTGGTTAATTGTTTTCGATGTCAGAAAGTTTCTCCTCATTTCTAGGTTGAATCTCTCCTTGATCAGTTTCCATCCATTATTCCTTGTCTGGCCTTCGGGTGCTTTGGAAAATAGGCTGATCCCCTCCTCTCTGTGGCAGCCCCTCAAATATCAGAACAATTATTTCAAAGATGTACCCGAAGCACAACTAAATATGGAAATCAACCAACTGCCAGTCTCACAGGAAAATGTTCATCTGAAACCATCTATGACTTTCTTTCTTTTATCCTGGGATACAAGACATAAAAGCCTTTGCTGTGGAAAAAAACCCTCTCACCAGAATAAAGGCACGCTTCCTTCCTCTTACAGACTAAAAATGGGCTTAAAAACATACCTGAACCCAGGTTTTTTAGAATTGTTAGGGGATTTATACAATTTTGTATTTATACAAATTTATACAAATTTGTATGCAACACATACAAATGAATTGCCAACACAATAGCAAAAACCATTAAAAATAAATCAAGGCAATTGAAACAATTATCCATAAAATACGTGACAGTGCAATCGATATCTTACAAACAAATAGAACTATTTCACACATTCCATAACTCCTCGGGATCCCTAAGGTCAGAGGCAAAGCCATGTCCCCAAGGTCTTTTGAAAGGGCAATAAGGGTCAGGGTTGAGCCTCTAGGGCTGCCAGGTATGGGGTGTGGGTCTTCCTCAGGGGGATCACAGACAGGTAGTTCTCGACCTACGACCATTTGTTTAGTGACCGTTCAAAGTTACGACAGCACTGGAAAAGGGCAATTTATGATCGTTTTTCACACTTACGACCATTGCAGCATCCCCTGGTGTCACGTAATTAAAATCTGGACGCTTGGCAACTGGCATGTTGTTGTGGTCCGCTAGTAGCCCACAGAGCTGGCAGCGGAGTTGGACAGTGAGGAGGCTGGGGAGGACCATGGGCCAGTCCTGGAGTCTGGGGAAGGCTCGGACGAGGGCTCTGCATCGGAGGCAGAGATGGGGCCAGGGCCATCTGGGAGTGAAGCGCAGACTCCAGAGCCTCCAGAGTCGGACATGAGAGAGGCAGAGGAACAGGAGGAGCCTGTCCTAGTGCGCATATGCGCAGAGCTGCCAGAAGGCATGAACAGTTAAAACAAAAGGGACAACTCGGGAGTAAGGCCTGGAGATGATTGGCCCCTCCCATAAGGCTTAAAAGAGGAGCAAAGGCATGTGGGCCCTTTGCAGGAAAGCAACGTTGTTAATTCTGTTCCCAGTCGGCATCTTTGATTCTGGACTCCGTGTGGCTTTGCCAAGTAGGTCTTTGGCAGTATGTCAAGTGAGATAAAGGTTGGTGATTATCCCAAAAGACTTCTTCCAAAGGACTTTTTGCAACTAATTGGGACTCAGCTGTGAACGAACGTAATTCATAGCTGTTGCAATAAAAGAGGTTTTTGGGACTACTCGTGTGTTTTAATGACTCAGGAAGCCTAGGTCACAACACGTATATTTATGACAGTTGCAGTCTCCCCGGGGTCATGTGATTCCCCTCTTGCAACCTTCTGACAAGCCAGGTCAATGGGGAAACCAGATTCACTTAACAACCGTGTTACTAACTTAGCAGTTGCAGTGATTCCCTTAACAACTCTGGCAAGAAAAGTCATAAGATGGGGCAAAGCTCACTGAACAAGTGACTTGCTTAGCAGTGGAAACGTTGGGCTCCACTGTGGTCATAAGTCAAGGATGACCTGTATCAGAGAGCGGGTGCCATGGCAGAAAAGGCTTTCCTCCTGGGCCTTTGTCCAATGAAACTCCTTAGTAGACAGGAGCTCTTCTGCCATGATGGGATGGGTAGAGGTAATCAGGGAGAGGCAGTTCCTCATATAACCCATCCCCACGCTATGTAGGGCTCCATAGGTCATAACTAGCATCTTCAATTGAATCTAGAAAACCAATACAACTCACAGGGTAGAGGTGTAACATACACTGGTCAAGGAACACATAGAATACCAACACATTTTGTATCAGTGACAACTTCTAGGTGTTCTTCAAGAGCAGCTCCTTATACTGCACCTTACAGTAATCCATTTGGGAAGTGAGTGACCAAGGTATGTGTGACTGAGAGTAGAGCTTCCTAGTCCAGGAACAGGTGCAACTGGTGCACAACCTGAAATTGCACAACTGGAGCCCTGCCATGGAGGAAGGAAGAGAACCAGCACAATAGTGATGCCCACCTCCAAACCCTGGAGTAGTCAATCCAGAAGGATACCACCACGATCACTACAGCAAGTACATCAGTACAAGGATGAATGCACTACCCAAATCCCATTCCTGCCAAAGGTGATCCAAACCTACAATCCACAAGTCACTGTGGGTTTTTTTAAATATGGTTTACATTAATTACATTTATGAATGTAAAAAAGTTGCCCAAGAGAGAAGGATCAGTGTAATAAGTAGCAAATACCGTATATCAATGAGCCCCAGAATCAGTGATGAAATCCAAATTTTTTTACTACCAGTTCTGTGGGCGTGGCTTGGTGGGCATGGCTTGGTGGGCATGGCAGGGGAAGGATACTGCAAAATCCCCATTACCTCCCCACTCCTGGGGGAAGGATATTGCAAAATCTCCATTCCCACCCCACTCTGGGGCCAGCCGGAGGTGGAATTTGCCGGTTCTCCGAACTACCCAAAATTTCCGCTACCGGTTCTCTAGAACCTGTCAGAACCTGCTGGATTTCACCCCTGCCCAGAATGGTTTATAAGATTAATTCTACATTGACTGATTCTTAGCTATTCCTTTCCTCTTGCCCTTCTTGAAACATATATGCCCACCAAGAAAAGCAACATAGTTGTTCCTAAGATCAAAAGTTATTTTTTTTATTATTATTTTCAGTCTTCTAAGAACTGTCATTTAAACAAGCCCACAAATGAGTTCAAAAGAATCCTTCAAGCATATAGACATGCCTGACCAGCAGGGGGCCACAGTATGTTTTGATAACCCAAAAATCTGAAGCTGGCAGAACTGTCGATCATAACCTCAAATGTGTACAGGTATTCATAGACATACAACTTCAACTGAGCACATTTCTGTTGCTAAATGAAACAGTTGTCAAGCCCATTTTATGAGGTTTCCTGCCACGGTTGTTAAGTGAATCACTGCAATGGTTAAATTAGTAACAGTTGTTAAGTGAATCTGGCTTCCCCGTTGACTTTGCTTGTTAGAAGCTCGCAAATTTCATGACCTCAGGACACTGCAACCGTCATAAATATGAGTCAGCTGCCAAGTGTCTGAATTTTGATTGTATACCATGGGGAACTTGCAACGGTCGTAAGTGTGAAAACGGTCATAACCTTTTTCAGTGCTGTTGTAACTTTGAATGGTCACTAAATAAAACTATTATAAATCAAGCACCATCTGTACATATACACGTGGTTGTCTTCTCCTTTCTACTTCTGCTCCTGCTCTTTTATCTCAAACTCCAAGCAGCTAGGTATTAAAGGAAAAAGCAGCTAAGTATTTGTTCCACATGGAGTGAAAAAGGTTTCTGTTTTTTTTGAGGAACACTTCCACTGTCTCTATTCTCCCTATCCCAAGAGCACCTCTAGTAGTAGGTCTCTCTGACTTCCCACCCTATCAAATGCTCTTGTAGATAGACTCTTACATTTTTGCTTTTTCACTACCATTTGCTTTTAAATTAATAAGTAACCCCCATTGACATAATTAGGGCTTTCCACACTGTTACAATTAATGCACACTACAAAATGTGAGACAGAAGATCTTTCAATCCCATTCTTTCCTAATACTGTAACACAGGGGTCCCACAGGAGCTGCAGAATGCCAGAAACTGGGCCACGCAAAGCCTCATCCATGGGATGCAGGCAGTATGCAAAACAATGCCCCATCTGGTCCACCAAAAAACCTCTCTCCACGGAGCCGGTCCCTGGTGCCCAAAAGATTGGGGGCCGCTACTGTAACAGGTTAACTGACAAAATCATCTTTTGGATTGATCAACAAAATAAAGGCAAAAGATATCAGCTTCTTATTCTGCTGGCCTGATATAAATAAAAAATGCAGTCACTCAAATAATAGTTAAAAGCAGTTAAGAGTGCAGCGTGCCAAACCACAGCATTGGTTATCAATGGGCAAAGTCCACTAATGGTTGTGTTCACACAGCACACTGACCCACAAATTAATCATGTGGTTAGTGTATAGTTAACATGCAAATCCAGAAAATTGAGTCAGTTACCCATGACCAAGTATGTCGACACAGGAACTGTTTGCTCAGTCATAGCTTATGAAATAAATTACCGGTAGCCAGATTCACACGTCAATCAGACTGCTTGGCAGCATACACCATTCAAATACATTTGGTGTCTCGTGGGTATTACACTAATAGGGGAAAGGATGGCATTGAGGATGAATAGTCATTGTGTTATTTGTTAATCTGATTAAAGTAAATCAAAATAGTGGCCTTTTAGAGTTTGCAGTAGCTTGGTTTATATGAGATATTGAAACTCAAAGAAGCCAACTGGCTTTTACCTAATGTGTCACGGCTTAGTTTACAGTTCAATGTATTTTGCAAACTTCAAAATTGGTTTAATTGACTGTACCTTCATTAAATTATCCATGGTTAGGAATGTTATGCAAATACATTCTATATTCCATGTCATATTTCTGGTTACCGTAATTTGAATATACTAATTTGAATATTCAGTAATGTTATTTTATTTGTGCTATTATCAAGTAATGTACAAAAATCATTACACTCATGCTAAACATGAAAAACATGTCCAGGTATTCTCCTCACTCACTCCTTATTCAAACACATATATTACACCCAATAGCCCTTTCAATTAATCCCTGCCTCTATCCTACACAAAAACCAATCTCTGGTCTCATACATTAACCCAAAGAGTAATATCAATGGAAAAGAATATTTGTAGGTCGGAGTTGAACTGTGGAGTCTTTATTGCTTTCTGAGCTGGGTTTTTTTCTTGCAGACATCTTATTACCCAACTAGGTAACATCAGCAGTGCTAAAAGAGAGTGGAATTTGCTCTCATTATGTTATAGCACTGATGATGTTACCTAGTAATGATGATGTTATCTAGTAATGAAACATTACTGAAAAAAAACCACCAAGCTCAGAGATCACCAAGATCGCCACAACCATAGAATTGTTTGATTCTAATATACAGTAGATTTATACAACATGCTACAGTATGATTGATCAATCACCTATAGCTGGCTGATTTTACAATATCATGCTAAACCAGGGGTCAGCAATCTGCGGCTCTGGAGCCGCATGTGGCTCTTTCACCACTCTGCTGCGGCTCCCTGTCACTCAAAATATACGTCACAACCACCAATGTGCAACACCCACCGGCAAGCAATTTATTGAGCTTTTCAACCATTGATAAATCCAAGAAAAGAGAAGTTTCAGAAGAAAACAGAATATTTAATTCAACTACATATGCTAGTTTTGTGGCCACTCAAGAAATAGTCAGGCACAGGAAGGGTTTTGTGGTTCCTGGTGTTTTCTTTTTTGTGGGAAAGGGGTCCAAATGGCTCTTTGAGTGTTTAAGGTTGCAGATCCCTGTGCTAAACTGTAAATAAACTAACCATATCACATCTTAGTCCCTTGTGGTCTACTATAGTTTATGTGCATTTTCTAATCAGATTCCTGTAACAACTCTAGGTAAATTCAATATACAGGTAGTCCTTGACTTACAATCATTCGTTTAGTGACCGTTTAACATTACAACAGCACCGAAAAAAGTAACTCATGAAAGTTTTTCACACTTACAACATCCCCAGTGTCACGTGATCAAAATTCAGATGCTTGGTAACTGGCTCATATTTATGACAGTCATAAATATGAACCAGACTGGAGTCATGTGATATTTTTTGCAACCTTCTGACAACTAAACTTCAATGGGGAAGCCAGATTCACTTAACAATCATTATGACTAACTTAACAACGGCCATGATCCGCTTAACAACTGTGGGAAGAAAGCTTGAAATGCCTTGCTTTAGCAACAGAAAATTTAAGCTCAAGTGTAGTCGTTAGGCTACCTGTACACCAGTGGTGAAATCAAATTTTTTTTTACTACCGGTTCTGTGGCCATGGCTTGGTGGCCGTGGTGTAACTTGGTGGGCGTGGCTTGGTGGGCATGACAGGGGAAGGATACTGCAAAATCTCCATTTCCACCTTATTCCAAGGGAAGGATTCTGCAAAATCCCCATTCCCTCTCCACTTCTGGGGGAAGGATATTGCAAAATCCCAATTCGCACCACACTCTGGGGCCAGCCAAAGATGGTATTTTCCGGTTCTCCAAACTACTCAAAATTTCCGCTATTAGTTCTCTGAACTGCTCAAAATTTCCACTACCTGTTCTCCAGAACCTGCTGGATTTCACCCCTGCTGTACAGACACATATACATAAAACAAAAATCATAAAAATACCGCAGCACAAAGAAAAACAAGGAAGAATTTCTTCCTAAACGGGAAAGAAAGAAGGCCGCTACCACCCCAATGTCTGGCTCCAGTGTTGCCCTGTGATAATTTTAAGAAAATATATATATATAATTATATATTATATAAATATATAATTATATTATATATAATATATATAATTATATATGTATAATTATTTTAAAATTTTAAGTTCTGGAGCTCGCAGAATGTCTGCTTCTTTCTTTACTAATATACCTGGAACTCGTATTTTTAGAATAGTTTGTTATATATATATATATATATTTTCTCAGGTTTTCACGGGTGTTTGTATGTAGGTCTTTGGTTATTCGTGTCTTCTCCCACGTAAAATGGGAAGTGTTTTGGCGACGTTTCGACGAAGTCTCATTCGTCATCTTCAGGCTGGTGTTCTCGGCTTTGTGCTTCCTGGATTGCTCCTGGAAGCACGAAGCCGAGAACACCAGCCTGAAGATGACGAATGAGACTTCGTCGAAACGCGCCAAGACACTTCCAATTTTACTTGGGAGAAGACACGAATAACCAAAGACCTACATATACATACATACATACATACATATATATATATATATATATATATTATATATACATACACATATATACATACATACACATACATATACATACATACACACACACACACACACATATATATATATGTTTTTCTTTTAGCCAGGTTTTTCCTACATAACCAAGGTTTTTCTGCAGCCTCTCACCAGGCAGCTCAGGGCCTGCTGGCTGCCAGAAGGAAAAAAGCCCAGAATCGAGTGGATGTGACTCCACTGAGCTAGGGCTGCAGAAAAACCTTGGTTACGTAGGAAAAACCTGGCTAAAAGAAAAACACACATAAATCCTACGAAGAGTAAGAAATATATATATATATATATAAATAAATAAATAAATATATATATATATATATATATATATATATATATATATATATATATATATATATATATAACAGAGAATAAAAGAGTTGGAAGGGACTTTGGAGGTCTTCTAGTCCAGCCCCCAGCTCAAGGAGATTATCAATGATTGTCAATTATTAATTTACATTTACTTAAGTTATTTAAATAAATAAATTATTTAAATTTATTTAAATTAAGATTTCCCGAATAAAAGCCCTCATTATATAGAATTTCCTTGAGAAGGGGGGGGAGGGGCGTTTCCTTTTAATTGCCCAAAGTTGCCTCAGCAGCTCAACCCCACACCCTGGGGCTGTGGAAACCACGGTTTGAAATGACCCTGAAGGCCCCATTATCTGGCAGCCCCACACAAGGCTCAGCATGATGGGCTTGGGGGTCAGTCGCCGCCTCTGAGGCTGGCCTACCTCGCAGGGCTGCCGTGAGGGTGGGGGGAAAAGAGGGGGCGTGGAAGGAGAAGGAAATCTCGGGGGCCTCGATATCCTCCTACTGACGGTTGAAAAGGGACACCCCCTTTTCCCACGTGCCCAACTGCCCCCCACACACACATCAAATTGGCTCCCTCACACACACGCGCGCGACCCTCCCCCACCTTTCCTGTCAGCCTGGCTTCCCCTCCCCCTCCCTTAACAAGCCCCACCCACCGCTCGCGCTTCCCGTAATTTTGTCCCCCCCTCCCTCCGTCTTACCTGCTGCTGTTGAACAGCCTTCGCTTTCTCCCCCTCCCTTGGCAATATTTAGGACCCTCTCACCGGCCGCCGCTCTGACAGCCAATGGTCGGCCAGGGGAGGCGGGCTCCGTAGGGCCGTCGGATCCAATCAGCAAGGCAGCAAGGGCGGTTGGCAACAACTGCCGGGGTTGGTTGTCCCTCCCGCTTCTCTTAACCGACGTTTTTCCCTTCTTGCCCAATCGCCGCAACTAAGCTAGGTTGAGAAAGGTTGAGCGTTTGGGATGCTTTCGACGCTCCCACCTGTGGAGAGGGGCGGGGGAGTTGTTTACATCCGGGGCTCAAAGGAGGAGGAGGAGCCCGACGTGTAATGTAGCCGGTGCGGAGAGAGCCAATGGGATTCGGGATTGTCGGATATATGCAAGCCACACCCACCAGTGACGAAAAAGATTGTTTACCGCTTTCCACTCGGGGAAGGAGGCAAACTGAGGGCGAGCGTGTGACGTCATGCGGGGGGCTGACGCAAGGACGTAAACAGTAAAGCGCTTTCAGGACATGTAGAGATAGAAAAGTATAGAGGGACAAATCGATGTTCTGACAATGTAGCCTTTTTTAAAATCGGGATGTAGACTTTTGAAAAGGTCTTAATTTTCATAAAATTAAGGGCTGTTAATTCACAAAATACTCATTAAGATGATGAATTAAAGAACCAGTTAGGTCTAATACAGGGGTGGGCAATTAGGGCCCCTGTACAACCTGTGGACTTCAACTCCCAGAATTCCTTCCCAGCATTAAAATAAAAGTAAACAAAATAAAATAATATAGTAAAATAAAAGGAAGAATATTGAATTATGCAATATTCTGCACCTTTTACAGATAGTCCTTAACTCACGACCACCGAGCCCAACTTTTCTGTTAAGCAAGACAGTTGTTAAGCGAATTTCGCCTCATCTTACCTTTTTTTGCTGCAGTGAATGACTATATTTGTTAAGTTATAATTGAATTCAAGTTGAATTCAAATTTTGTCAGTCAGTACAAGAAAAATCCTTTGAGGTGGTTTGATTACAGAGGATGAATAAGGATGGTTCTTGATGGGTATTTTGTGTAAGCAATAGCAATAGCTCTTAAGATTTATATACTGCTTCACAGTGCTTTTACAGCCCTCTCTAAGCGGTTTACAAAGTCAGCATTTTGGCCCAACAATGGGTCCTCATTTTTTACCGACCTCGGAAGGATGGAAGGCTGAGCCGATGAGGATCGAACTCCTGGCAGTGAGCAGAGTTAGCCTGCAATACTGCATTCTAACTGCTGCCTGGTTAGAATGGCTCATATGAAGGCATTGTAGGAAGCATTGGATGGATGCAGCAGAAGCAAAGAAGGAAGGGTAAATGGTGGTGAATGGATTGGTTGTGAACTATCTATGTCCTTTCTTTTTTCATCTTTGATTAAGGGACGATCTGAAGCCAAGATAGATAGATAGATAGATAGATAGATAGATAGATAGATAGATAGACAGACAGACAGACAGACAGACAGACAGACAGATATGGATGGATGGATATGTAGATGAGATGGAGACAGTGATAGACAGACAGACAGATATGGAGACAGACAGATATAAATGGATCGATGATGGATGGGGAGATAGATGAGAGAGAGAGGAGAAGGAGAGGGAGAGGGAGGGGAAGAAAGAGAGAGAGGAGAGAGGAGAGGAGAGGGAAAGGGAGGGAGAGAGGAGGAGAGGGAGAGAGAGAGAAAGAGACAGAGAGGGAAAGGGGAGGGAGAGAGAAGAAGAGGGAGAGAGAGGAGACGGAAAGGGAGGGGGAGGAGGAGATATATATATATATATTTCTAGCTTTATTGTTGTTGAAAGGTTTTCCTTTTTCCGTATATTACAGAAATAATTTCTTTCAAAAACAAGTTGTGGGAAATCTGAGCTGCAGCTACTGTATGTTTAAAATTAAGTTTTTAAAAACCAGAAAGCACCGGACAGGTTTTTAGCAATTTTATTTTATTTGTAGGTATACAACGACAACATATGCAAAGAAAAACTAGAAAACTAACCCAATAACTTAAAAACCTCGGTTGGTCACTCTTATGGTGGCGCCATTGATGGTTGGAGTAGTAAAATATCTCACGCATCCATAAAGGAATGTATTATCATAATTCCAAGTATATCACCAAGAGAATTTCAAAAAGCAGCCCCCAGGAATTGGGAACACAAGAATTGATGGAGAAAAACTTCTTGTTTAGCTAAAATACTGGCCCTTCATCTTAAACAAACAAACAAACAATCAAAACCCAAATGCAAATACAGCCAGACCTAAAGTACTGCGTAGTATTTTAATTAATTTAATTAAAACACAAGAACCCAGCGTACAGCTGTTATCAAGGCTCAACATCTTTTCAGCGTACATTTCATTCTGAATAGAGAAATCTAAAAGTTAATAAAAGGAAGAAAATATAGACCTACTATTATATTCTCTAATAGAGCGCATTCCAGGCAAAACGTATTAAGTCCTACGAAAATACGTTATCTTCCGTTCTGCTTTTAAATAATTTACTTTTGTTAAAAAGTTGTGAAGTCGTCACAGGAAGGAAGGTTATACAAATTTGTTACTTTGTACTAAATTAAACCCTTCCCAACCATATTTAAAAAATAATAATAATAAAACAGCATCCCAACGCAAGTTTTATATTGTTTCGGTATTTTTACCTTTGTTGTAACAATAAATGAAAGTACCCAAGGAAAGAGACTACAAGTTGTATGAAGGAATATAAATTTACGCATATATATATATATATTTTTACACCAACCTTTTTATCCTCCCTAAGGACGTCTACAAAATTCACAGTTATATTACAAGGGGGCAGAAGGTTGGGATAAAAGCTGTCTGAATTCACCTTTCTTCTTCTACATTAAAAAATAATAATGATTTTTATTTTCCTTAGTAAAAGGGGGAGCAGAGAATAGAATGGCAGCTTCAAATTCTCTGCAAATTCTCCAGATTCGGTGGGAATCCTGGACGAGACAGGAGAAGATTCAGCAAACACACAGAGCTTTCCTAGTCTGCTGGAATAAGGGGCTCCCTAACTTTTTCTGTCCTCGTACGCTTCGGCGCATGGCCAGCCTGTTGGTGATTTTATGCTGCGGGGTGGAAGAGAGGCTTTCGGGCTGCCCGCCAACGTTTCGGGTCAGGCCGCGTCTTGGTTTCTTCACCACAGGCCCCGAGTTAGATTCTTCCAATGTCCTTTTGAAGCTGGCCACTGATGGAGTCCGCTCCGCTTCCTGTACTTTGGCCGCCTCACTCAGGGGGACCTTGAAGGATTTGGGGTCCGGACTCACATTCCTGGCGTTGGAGGGAGACAGAGTCCCAGGTGGGTTTCGGCCGAACGAGTCGTGTGCCCGCAAGCCGAGCGCTTTGCCGCCCTTCTCGTCCGGCGGCACCGCCTCTCTCGAGCAAGCTGCTCCTAAACCATCGTTGTCCTTCGTCAGCTCGTCGGCTTGCTCCGGAAGCCTGCCCGACACAGAAGCGCTGCTGCAGGAGAATAAAGGGAGGCCTTCTGAGGAACTCAGCCGGGGCCACAAGTCATCGTCTACGACCTGGTGGGATTTAAAAAAAATAAAAATGAAAAACACAATTTTCGATTTCAAAGGTTCTTTTGAGTTTCATGAGAAGGGGGGAAAAAAAGGACCAGGGGGTGATATGATAGCAGTGTTCCAATATCTAAGGGGCTGTCGCAAAGAAGAGGGGGTCAGCCTGTTCTCCAAAGCACCTGAAGGCAGGTATGCATCCTAGCAGTGGTGGGATTCAATGGGTGTAACAACCGGTTTGCTTCGCGTGTGCTTCGCACCAAAGGGGTGATCCACCCGTGAGCAGTAAATTTGAAAACAGCACCTTCTACTGCAGCTCCGGTGAATAAAACAGCTGAGGTGCGGCAAGCCACGCCGATCAGCTGGACTTCAAACAAAGGTAATAAAGGTAGGTATAGCACAGGGGCAGGTGGGCGGGCCCAGCTGATCATCGCAGCGAACCGGTTCGCTCTCAGCTGATCATCAGAGCTACCAGTACACCCGAACTGGCCCGAACCAGCAGAATCCCACCCTTGTATCCTGGCTAAATACAACTGTCTGAGGAACTGTGGGCGGACAGCATAAATTCTGGAGCAAGGTATCACCCATGTCAGAATACCTTTCCCAGATTGTGGAACTGATGATGTTACCTAGTTGGGTCATGAAATCTCTGTAAGAAAACCACCAAGAACCCTAAACAAACATGATTAGGAGGCTGGAGGCTAAAATAAATAAACGACGGTTGCAAGAATTGGGTATGTTTTGTCTAATGAAAAGAAGGATTAGGAGTGACATGATAGCAATGTTCCCATATTTGAGGGGCTGCCCCAAAGAAGAGGGAGTCAAGCTATTCTCCAAAGAACCTGAAGGCAGGAGAAGAAGCAATGGATGGAAACTAATCAAGGAGAGAAGCAACCTAGAACTAAGGAGAAATGGGAACAATTAACCAGTGGAACAACTTGCCTCCAGAAGTTGTGGGTGCTCCAACACTGGAAATTTTTAAGAAGAGATTGGAGATTTATCTGAAATAGTATAGGGTTTCGTACTGAGCAGGGGGTTGGACTAGAAGACCTCCAAGGTCCTTTCCAACTCTGTTATTCTGTTGTGTAATAATTCTATTCCCCCCCCCCACCAAGAAACACCACTAATCACCGTTGTAAATCATTTGGAATGTTGACAACTGGTTCATATTTATGACGGTTGCAGTATCCCAAGGTCGTGCAATCTCCTTTTGCAACCTTCTGACAAGCAAAGTCAACGGAGCATCCAGATTCACTTAACAACCGTGTGATTAATTTAACAACTGCAGTGATTCACTTAACAACAGTGGCAAGAAAGGTCATAAATGGGACAAAACTCACTTAACAAATTTCTCACTTAGCAACATAAAGTTTGGGCTCAATTGTGGACATAAGTCGAGGACTACCTGTATAAATTCCCAAAATTGCTTCACCCAGTCTCGCTGGGAATTTTGGGTGTTCCAATCTCCAAATATTTGGAGGTCATAAATCCCCCTCTTTTTTTTTTTGCTAAGTGACCTTGTTGGTCAAGGACCACCTGTATTATGCAGGTAGTCCTTGACTTTCATCCACAATTGAGCCCAAAATTTCTGTTCCTAAGTGAGACACTTGTTAAGTGAGTTTTGCCTCATTTTACGATCTTTCTTGAGATAGTTAAGTTGTTAAGTTAGTACCACGGTTGTTAAGTGAATCTGGTTTCCCCATTGATTTTGCTTGTCAGATAGTCGCAAAAGGGGATCACATGACCCTAAGACCGTGATGGTGAACCTATGGCACGCGCGCCACAGGTGGCATGTGGAGCCATATCTGTGAGCACCTGAGCATTGCCTTAGCTCAGCTCCAGCGCACATGCATGTACCAGCCAGCTGATTTTCGGGCTTTCCGGGCCCACCGGAAGTTGGGAAGCTGCCATTCCCAGCCTCCAGGAGGGTGTGGGAGGCCATTTTCGCCCTCCCAGGCTCCAAGAAAGACTCTGGAGCCTGGGGAGAGCGAAAAACGGGTCTACCAGGCCCACCGGTAACCTTTTTGCCGTTGCGTGCCAAAAGGGGTGGGAGCACCGGGGTGGGTGGGTGTCGCGCGCACATGCACAGGGGGGACATTGAATTATGGGTGTGGGCACGCATGTGCGCAACCCCTTCACGTGCTCCCCCCGCTTTTGGCATGTGATGGCAAAAAGGTTAACCATCACTGCCCTAGGACACTGAAACCGTCATAAATATGAGCCAGTTGCCAAGCGTCTGAATTTTGATCTGGTGGCCACAGGGATGCTGCAACAATCGTTAAGTGTGAAAAACGATCTTAAGTCACTTTTTTCAGTGCTGTTGTAACTTCAGTCACTAAACCAACTGTTGTAAGTCGAGGACTGCCTGCAAATAGGCCATCACACCTGGTTGAGAATCAGCAATGGCAGCCCATCTCTCTCAGGTGTGGGCTCTAAATTTTTTTACTACCGGTTCTGTGGGCGTGGCTTATTTTGTGGGCGTGGCTTGATGGTCACGTGACAATTCTTTAGGATTTAGCAGAGGTACTGGTCTACCAGGCTTTTAACTGCTTGCAGAGCTGTACCGGTCTACTCATTTATTTTTGCAGGCACCGGTCTACTCATTTGTTTTTGGAGGCACCGGTCTACCACCAAACTGCCTTTTATCACTGATCAGCTGTAGGGCGGCCCTTTGAAGCCTGGCGGGAACAGTTTAAACAGTTTTTCCTTATAGCCCATCAGCTGGGACTCAGGAGGCAGCAATAGATTGGGGGTGGGGCCAAATAAAAGGTAAGAATAATGCGGGGGGGGCGGGGGGCAGATCCGGTTTGGTGACTTCGTATCGTCACCACTACCAGCTCGGCGGAACCGGGTGGAACCAGGAGAAACCCACCACTGATCTCTCTTTGGCTTAAGAATGAGAGATGCTGGTCAGCCACGTGATGAGAATTACTCATGTCAATTGCATGTTGTGTGAACTCCATCTCTGGGAACGGGTGTGTCTTATGAACCCAGAAACCTGGGTTAACTGAGTAAAGCATAGTTCACCATTAGAAACAGAAATTCTTAATTCGAAAGGTTTGGAGCAAAGGAGAGGACTAGTGCTCTGGGCTCAAGCATCCAATGGAAGCCATCGTTATTATAATGCTATCGCATCAATGAAGAATTCTGGGAGTTGAAGTCCACACATCTCAAAGTTGCCAAATTTGAGAAACGCTATTCTAGATTAAGCACTATAGCAAGAATATCTTGCTAATGGCAGCCAGTTTGGTCTAGTGCAGTGATGGCTAATCTTTTTGCCATCGTGTGCCAAAAGCGGGGGGAGTGCGGGGAACGGGTCATGTGCGCACGCGTGCCCACACCCATAATTCTATGCACCTCGACCCCTCCGCGCTTCCCCCACTTTTGCCACGCAATGGCACAGTGGGCCCAGTAGGCCCGTTTTTCACCCTCCCCAGGCTCCAGAGCCTTTCTAGGAGCCTGGGGAGGGCGAAAACGGCCTTCCCCACCCCCACTGAGGCCCTCCGGAGGCCGGAAACGGCCTGTTTGACAACTTCCGGTGGGCCCAGAAGGCCTGAAAATCAGAAAAAATGTCAATGGTCCAACATGGGGCAATCAGTTGCCCAGCTCTGCATGGAAAACTCGTGGTCCAAAACAATATGCCAATCCAGGCCAGGTTAAATTCGTCAACCCGACCAACTTTTCAGTGTCCTCACAACCCAGAAATCTCCCAACAAAAAACCCAAAACAAATATAACCATTTCTCCTTCCTTCAAGTGTTCTCCCATACGGGATTACAGGTGGTGCTCAATTTACAACCACAATGGAGCCCAACTTTTCTGTTGCTAAACAAGATGGTTGTTAAGTGAATTTTGTCCCATTTTACAACCTTTCTTGCCACAGTTGTTAAGTGAATCACTGCAGGTAAAATTAGTAACAAGGTTGTTAAGTGAATCTGGTTTCCCCATTGACTTTGCTAGTTGGAAGGTCGCAAAAGAGGATCCCAGGAACCTAGAACACTACAAGCGTCATAAATATGAGTCAGTTGCCAAGCATCTAAATTTTGATCACGTGATGCTGCTGCAATGGTCGTTAAGTGAGAAGAATAGTCATAAGCCACTTTTTCCAGTGCTATGGTAACTTTGAATGGTCACTAAGCGAACTGTTGTAAATCAAGGACTACCTGCATTCTCCTATACAGATTATTCTGCCATACAGATTTCCATATTTTTCAGACTATAAGATGCATCTGACTATAAGAAGCACCTATATTTAGAAGAGGAAAAAAACAAAAATATGTTTTTGGCCTCCGCACTTTTAAGGCTTTTTTCGGCCCATTTTGGAGGCTTTTTTGGCCCGTTTCTGAGGCTTTTTCTGGCCCATTTTTAGGCTTTTTTCAGCCTGTTTTTGAGGCTTTTTCAGGGCCGTGCTTGAGGCTTTTTCCAGCCCATTTTCAAAGCTTTTTTCGGCCCATTTTTTCCGAAACGGGCACAGAAAAGCCTCAAAAACGGCCCGAAAAATGCCTCGAAAGCAGACAGAAAAAAGGCCGAAAAAAGGCTTGAAAACAGGGTGTGTGGAGGCCAAAAAAAAGGCCGAAGGGTGGGCAAGGCTTTGACAATATTCGGTCTATAAGAAACTATAAGAAGCTTCTTCAGTTCTGACTGAATGGTGGAGGATGGAAGGATTTATATTCCTTGCAGTCATCTGGTCGTTAGTGCTCTCTCTGAGAATTGTTGAGGCCACTTGGAGGTCTGTGCCCTCAGGGTCACCTGAATAGTGCAAATGGGTGTGGAGCCTTCTTGGAACTGCTGAAAGGACTGTATTGTAAACAGGAGAGAGGTGGTGTCATACCCTTCCCCCTGTGTTGAGAGTGGGCTGTTCAATTTTAACTTAGATGGGCCTCTTTGACCCCTCTTTCAAACCACAGGAAAATGTGGACTTTGCTTTCTTCAAAAGAGTGGCACCTGCTGTCTTCAAAACAGTGGCCTTTATCTTTCAAATACAGATGGACTGCTGAATCTTGTCCCCCA